GTAGTGGGTCGCGACCCGGTGGTTGGGGACCTCTGATTTAAGAGGACGGTTTGAGACCATCGCCTTACCTGTACGTTTCAAATGGTCCAAGTTTGGTTTGGTCAGTATGGTCCAGTATGGTAGATGCCAAAACTTTTTTTTCATTTGTTTGTTTTGTGCCCGAAATTGTATGAAATAGTGCTTTTCAGGTCTTTGCTCGGGATTCAACTACAAATCATCATCTCTCCTCTTGAACTTTGGTGCAGGTTATGTCCTTTGACTTTAATAAAGCTGTGTGCATCTGGATTTAGCCACTGCCAGTTGAACCACTAAAACATTCCTTTTGACTGCAAATTCATCCACGTTTTACAATTCATCACACTCTTTCAGGAGAGTGGAGTACTATTCAAGAGCCGCAACCCTTGTTTATAAAAGCATGTTTGATGGAATCTCACGATTTTTATAGTGATAGCACTGTGGTTTGCTCATTTCGATCCCTGCAGGGAAAAGTGATAAGATGTATAATTGGATGCATTGAGATTCTAAGCTATGAGGCGTTTGTGCAGGCAGGTATTGATGTCACTGTGGGAGAATGCTGCTTGAATCTGAGCACGGGAGTTTCAGAAGGGACCTACTCCATGTCTGAGTTTAGGGAGTCTACGAAAACCTGTGGTCAATATCACGGAGTGAAATGTCACTTGGTTATTTCCTTACTTTTAAGTAAAACTTTATTTCTTGCCTTTGAGATTGAAATTCTAAGATTTTAATATACTCAGATTTCAGATCTGTGTCTCCTTTTGTGAAATGCCCAAATCATATGGGAACCAGGTTTGATGTGGCGTTCAGTGTAGTTATTAATTACCGTATCATTAAGCAGCAACCTTTTTTGCAAAGCCTGGGTCAAGTTCTGATGGTCCGCTTGACATTTTACATGTACAGATATACATTATATTCATCTGTATAATACTAGTTACAGAAGTTCAGAACCAGTCACTTTGTTTGGATGGGAAGTTTCACGTTCTGATGGTTACAGAATTTGTTCTAACGTCAAATACTTATCTCAAAAGATCAAGGGAAATTTGGTTTATTGAGATATGACAGCTGTAAAGTCAAAGCAGATGTCCATCAGATGCTTTCTTGGCATGAACTATGTGCTGTTGCAACATGAAAAAATTGTGATTCACATGTTGCTTCATCTTAAAAACTCCTTCAGTTTACAGATTTTCACAGATAAACCTGTTTTGGATTTTGAGGACATCTTCAAGACTTTTTCAAGCAATTGCTTTTCCTGCAGCTAGTTATGGACTATGTATCGATGCTTATTCTACCAGTAATGGATACTTCAGTTGTCTGCTCGCTCAGGTGCAAGAAAGCAGATTTAATTGGAGAGAGACATGAGCCGCAAAAGTGCCCAGCGGTGTGGGTTTACAGCCTAGCACACTCAACTTTTAAAAACACTTTTAAAAATCCAGCTACATCCTTTAATTTAATCACATCTAACACCCACCGGCCACATGCTATTAGCAAAGGATTTATGTTCCGAAACTGAAATGGGGGGAAAAAAAAGCGATTTCATGCCTAATGGCATGATAATGATAAGACATTGTTTGAATGGAAATGTTTTTATTGTGCAACGGATCCTATCGTGAAAGCTCATTAAAATGTGATTTTGCATGGCCTTCCCGAAGGAAACGGCGAGGCTCAGAGAGGCACAGTGGTGACGAGCTGCGAGTCGGAAGTAATTGATCAGCTCGAAGTGATGCTGGGTTTCCTCTAAGGGCCCTGAAGTAAAAGGGGGACCCACATTGAGTCAGAGCCCACTGTGATGGATTGAGGCAGACTAAAGGACTTCTGCATTCTCCCATCAGCCTTTGCAAGAACTCGTCTAGGACACCAGCACTCAAAATCATTTGTCAAACGGCGTCAGCTTTTTCACGAAAAGGTCACATCCTCTCCTGCCGTTTTTTTTTTACAACAACATAAATAGAATGCTGCATATTGTAACACCTCCTGTTTTTGCACACCAGCTGGGCAGTGGTATACGTGGGGGTTCCTCATGCCAAGAGTCATGCATTGTGGCAAAATTAGAGCATTTATTGGAACAGTTTTCTGGAACACTTCTTTTTGCATCCAGTGCCTTTAAAGAGAAGGAAAAAGGGAAGGATGAGGAAAAGGAAGAGGCAGTTTAATTAAAGTTTTATGCATTCCATCTAATCTTTCAAAAACATTGTCCCACAGGGGCCAGGCAATCCCTCATGTCAAGCTGAGTTAGCTTGTGAAATAAAATACAGTTGTTCTTAATCGTCAGATCATGATTATGCGTGGCCACCGGCAAAGTTGCTGCTAGTATCATGTTGCTCCAAGTCTCAGTTGGTTCCTCATAGCAGCCCTAAGGGTTGCTTTTTTAGACACTAATGGGATCAGATGGGTCAGATTTTTTTACTCAAATTTTTTTTAAGCTTTAGTATTTTTGCTGGCAGTGCTTTAAAGGGATACATTTAGAGATGTTACTGGCCCATTCCATTTAAAGCACTGCTAATACTGCCATCAAAGCAGCACTTGTGTAACAAATCCACTGTATTCAACATTTACTGGCAGATTTAAGGTTCTCTTATGTGAGTGCTATTATTATATAATGCACAAGCTTACTTTTTGTGTAAATTTTTAGTTTGACATTTTCAACTTAACTGAGTTTTTTTGATCAATGTAAATGCATTTTTAGGCCCTACAAACATAAACATTTGGTTGCAAATTCTGCTTGTCCACATTCTAAATTTCTTAGATTGGTCAAAGACTTAAAAAGTCTTAAAATGTATAATAAATAAAATCAAATAATTTAAAGTAAATATAAAATATATACAGGTGTGTGTATGTATATGTATATGTATATATATATATATATATATATATATATGTGTGTATGTGTATGTGTATGTATATAT